AGCTGTCATGGAATCCACATCTAGATAAAACTACTCAAAAGACCAGGCCCTCTATCTGGCCCTGCCGGAAACTTATGGGACGGATCTGGGGTATCAGACCTAAACTGGCGAGGTGGATGTATGATGCCGTCTCCAAACCCATTCTTACCTATGCTGCACCCGTCTGTTGGAAGAAGGTGGAAATGAAGTCCACGCAGGCCAAGCTCAGCAAACTACAGAGACTGGCCTGCGTGGGTATCACTGGCGCGATGAGAACAACACCAACGGCGGCTCTCGAGGTGCTTCTTGACCTGCTTCCCCTACACATAGTAATCAAGAAAGAGGCTCTGCTGTTTACAGCAAGGCTCGTCTCAGGGGACAGTGTAGGGGACAAGAAGTATGTACACCCTTCCACTCTCTGGGTTATAGAACAAGAAGATGGTTTGCGCATAAGTTTTGTGGACCTGTGCCTACCGAGGTTTAACTTCTCACATAACTTCAAGGTCTTTTTCCCTGACAGGAATAACTGGGACAATGAACGACCTAAACCCCGGAAGGGCAGCCACATCTGGTATACCGACGGCTTAAAGACTGACGGCCACGGAGCAGGAGTCTACGGTATACAACCCAGACTGCTCCTTTTCACCAGCATGGGGCAGGGTAACTCTGTCTTTCAGGCCGAGGTTCACGCCATTGAACTTTGTCTGAGGCAGTATGTAGAAAGTGGGGCAACCAAAAAACACATCTATATACACTCGGACAGCAGAGCGGCGCTCCTCGCCCTGAAAGCGCACGAGGTCACCTCAAAGCTGATGTGGGATTGTCTTCAACTTTTAATACTGATCGCCTCAAGGCACCGGGTATACCTCATATGGGTACCGGGACACAGCGGAGTCATGGGCAATGAAGCGGCAGATATTCTCCCCAGGAAAGGGGCTGCACAGAGATTCATAGGCCCAGAACCCTTTACCGGTCTGCCATGGAGCTCCGTTATACGGAACTACTATATCTCAATGCAGAACGAAGCACAACAATACTGGACCAATATGGAAGGTAACAGACAGGCCAAGTCCTTCATTCCGGTTATATCAACAAGGAGAACCGAAGAACTCCTTCACCTCAGTAGGCATGAAGTAAGAATTGTTACAGGCTTTCTTATTGGCCACTGTAGGGTAATGAAACACTTGTCAAATATAGGAGTTGTCAACTCTGGCCAGTGCAGGTCGTGTAACGAAGAACAGGAAACAGCAGAGCACATTATGTGCCACTGTGAAGCCCTTACCAGGACCAGACTTCGCTTCCTAGGATCACCGTACCTAGGAGCACACGACCTAAATGGCATTCAGCCAAAGGACCTCGCGAGGGATCTTAGCAGTACGTGGATCAAAGATGACCTGTAGTTGAATAGAGGTTTGTTACAATAGATCGTTTCGGTCGCGGTAACTAGGTGACCTGCTCCCTCCTCTAAATCTAATCTAATCTAATCTAACATCGCATTCGTAATCAGCGACCCCAAAAACCTCCGAGAAACGAGTTTCAATCCATTAAAACGTTCAGAAGCATCAAAATCAACTTGGTAAACTTCAAAGTCGTTTTTCTCGAAATCTTTTTTTCTGAGCGTAGGTCCCTTTTAACTTTACGTGTCACATATAATACAATTTTTACAGGCCGATGTGTGTACATAATAGATATTAAAGAAAAATTAATATGGGTGGTCTTTATAAGAGTAACAGAAGCCAAATCAAGAATTTTTAGAAATTTTGATTGTCTGTCTGTCTGTATAGAAATAGAAAGTAGTTTTCACCAATGTATTGCTTGAAGTGTAACTTAAAATCTAGGAGAAGAAAAAAATTTAGAGAGTTGCCACCTGTTTGAAAATTACAGTTTTGCTAAAATTGATAGATATATTAAATATTACAATATGGCTGTCAAAATAAAGAGGTTTCAAAAGGCTAACAGCCGAAAATTTTTTTTGGGGAACGTTGCCACCTGTTTTAAAATTTTCGTTTGTTTTAATTAATAAGATAAATTAAATATTGCAATACGGGTATCAAAATAAAGAGGTTTAGGAAAGTTTGATACCGGGAATATTTGAGGAATTAAAAATTACAATTCTGGTGTTAAATTAAAGCGGTTTAAGAAAGTTTACTGTCGAAAATACTTTTGAAAATACTATTTAAAAAAACTTAATTCAGTTAACTTGACAAGATAAGGTAAATATTGAATTAGTACACCTTTGAAGAAAGTTCGCGATATGTATGTAGACTGGAGTTATAAGAATATAAATTAAATTTCCATGAGAAAGCCGAGTAGTATAAAAAATAAGGAATGCTTCATAAATCAAAAATTTGTTTGAAAATCTCCCATCATAAACATCTTTATTTTATTTTCCAAAAATTAGGCCATACGAGTCTTGGAAGGGAGGAACAATCCAAAAATACTTTTTTCATGAATTTATTGATATGAAGTATTAATTTATCTGTCGTTAGTATGTTAATTTAGTGGCCAAGGCATTTGGTGTCAAGCGTTCAAAGTCAACGCGAAAGTTCTATGTACACTGGCCTTTAAACACATTTTTATTGATTGAATAGTCACTTACAATGAAATTTGTCAGCTACAGATGTGAAGTGATTGACAGTCATAATTTACATATGTGTTGATCTACCCTTTTTAACTGAGATGACTAACCTTTTAGAATTTTTGGAATCAGTTAAAGAAAACTCAACTTAAAAGGTAGTACAACATATTGCAAAGAAGTACATTTGACTGTACTTCGAAGTACGAAGTACAACGGCTCAAAAAGAAGTACTGTACTTCCGAAAGAAGTACGGTTGGTCACACTAAGTAAGTAGTCAGCAAACTATCTTTTTTCCATGCAATCAACTGGTATTTTTAGCATGAGAGTGTCCTACGAGATGGCAATTGTCAGATTTTGGTCAGAAATATAGCTGTCTCATACTAGTTCAAAATAAACAGAAAAATACTAGTCCAATTATGGACCGAAACCACTACTTTGGGAGTCAAAAAATAAAATGAATTCAAGAATATATAATTTTAAAAATTTTTGATTAAGTACACTTGAAAATATTACACTATTTTATTTAGAAGTCTTCGATTTGCCAATTATTAGTGGTACATTTTTTTAGTATTAATTAAAAGGAAAAATAAATACATAAATTTTTCAAAGAAGATAAATTTAAATGCATTTTTCATTAAATGCTATTAAAAGTAATAGCTTTCAGGTACAATAAATACTATAGTTTTATATGCAAAAGAAACTATTTTAGTTAAAAATTAAAAAAACAAATTATTTAGTTAATGTTCGAGTGAACTTAAATAAAAATAAAAGTTTCCATTAAATTAAATTAAATTCATTAACTTTACACATTTCAGTCCTTTCTTTTTAAAACTTTACAAAGTAAAAAGTAAAATAAATTAATAATTCATGAGTTAACAAATATTCTTAATTTTTGTCTATAGTTGATGGATAGTTGAAGTTAATGAAATAATTATATTAATCGAGTAATTTGAAAAACTCTTAAATAATTGGAAATGATCAAAAATAACAAAATAATCATGTAATTGAAATCAATGAATTAATTTAAAAAAATTAATTAATTAATAATCATTAAAAAGGTGCTCATATTGGTATCTAATCATTAAACGGTTATCCAAAAAACATGTTTTAATTAATAATCATTATGATTATTAATCATTATAATAATTGAATATGTTCTCGCTTTAATGGTTAACAATATACCCAAATAAAAGTTATAATATTTGGTGTACTTTATTGTATATTGAATAAATCGTTTTGTACTTGATACAAGTCTAGTCATTTTTGAACTAGTTCGGCCTCAGTCAGGAAATTCTAGTTGTAAACTAGTATTTTTGCTGACTAGTTTGGGGTTTCACTGCAGGGAATAGAGAAAATAGTGAAAACTAAATCGATAAAAAACGATCTATGATAACTTGTGGTATCGCTCAAATTACCCTAAGGTAAATTTATTAAGCTATTTATGAAATGTATTTAATAATAAATACCTTTCAGGAGAAAACAAAGCCCTCCAAAACCGTCATCAGTGCAATATAGTTCCGGAGAAAGCTTACTGATTTTTGAAATACGTATGTGTTTGTTTTTATTTTACATTAGTAATATATGTACGTATTAGGGATGTTGCGAAAGTGGAATTTTAGACATCCGCGGATGCGAATGCGGATGCGGATGTTTAAAAGCTAACATCCGCAGGTGCGGATGCGAATGCGGATGTCAAATATTTTTAAGAAATAATTTTGGTGAGTGCATTAGGTGATTTAGGTAAGTAAGAAATGGAAAGGTTAGTAATTTTTAATAGTGTTTTTTTTTTATTTAGTACTTTAATTAAAAAATTGGAACATTGTATTTAAGAAAAAATAATTTTGCTGCATTTTCCGGTTACAGCCTGTTTCCTAACGGGTCGCTCGAGGCGACAAACTTGAAAAAACTTGAAACTTGACAAAATTGTAAATTCTTTTCGATTGACGCTGCACCAGTTGAGAGGACTTTCAGTTATATTTCTTTTTTTATTGCGGTGCAATAATTCCTTTTGGACAATTGCATCGGGGCTGCAAGTGTCGGATGTGTCCTCCTGACTTTCATCTTCACAATCTAGCATCATGGCAAGATCGTTGTTTAAACACCGTTGTGTTCCAATTTGGAAAACCA